AGAATACAGGAAGAATTAGCCAGTTCTGTATCCAAATGGCTCAAAGGTAGAAGACAGAGGGTGCTGGTGGAGTGTTGCTTTTCAGACTGGAGGCCTCTGACCAGCTGTGCGCCGCAAGGATTGGTACTGGGTCCGCTGCTTTCCAACATTTATTTAAATGGATTTGGACGTGAACATAGGAGGTATGGTTAGTAAATTTGCAGCTGATACCAAAATTGGAGGTGTAGTGGACAGCGAAAAAAGTTATGTCAGAGCACAATAGGATTTTGAGTAGATGGGTCAATGAGCCAAGGAGTGGCGAATGGAACTGGATTTAGATAAATGAGAGGTGCTACATGTTGGTAAGGCACATCAGGGCAGGACTTATACACTTAACAGTAAGGTCCTGGGGAGTATTGCTGAACAAAATGACCTCGATTGCAGGTTCATTGTTCCTTGAAAGTGGAGTCACAAGTAGATAGGATAGTGAAGGAAGATGTTTGGTATGCTTGCCTTATTGGTCAGTGCATTGAGTATAGGAGTTGCAAGGTCATGTTGTACAGGACTTCGTTTAGGCCACTTTTGGAATACTACATTCAATTCTGGCCTCCCGGCTATAGGAAGGATGTTGTGAAACTTGAATTGGTTCAGAAAAGATTTAAGGATGTTGCCAGGGTTGGAGAGTTTGAGCTATAGGGAAAGGCTGAATAGGCTGAGGCTATTTTCCCCCGGAGTGTCAGAGGCTGAGGGGCATCCTTAGAGGTTTATCAAATCATGAGGGGTATGGATAGGGCAAATAGACAAGGTCTATTTGGGGAGTCCAAAACTGGAGGGCATAGGTTTAGAGAGAGGGGAAAGATTTAAAGGGACTGAAGGGCAACTTTTTCATGCAGAGGGTAGTGCTATGGAATGTGCTACCAGATGAAGTGATGGAGGCTGGTACAATTACAAAAAGTTTAAAAGGCATCTGGATGGGTGTATGAATAGGGAAGGATTTACAGTGATATGGGCCAAATGATGGTGAATGGGACTAGATTAATTTAGGATATCTGGTTGGCATGGACAAGTCGGATTGAAGGGTTTGTTTCCATGCTGTACCTCTCTATGACTTTAAATGAATTTTTAAAAAAAATATTGACAGATGGAAGAGGATTTTCTTCTGAGAATAGTGAATTTGTGGAATTATTTACAGCTGAGGGCTGTTGAGGTTGGGGATCATTAAATATTCAAGGCTGAGATAAACAGATTTCTAATCATTAAGGGAATCGAGGGTTATAGGAATAATACAGCAAAGTGAAGATTATCGATCAGTCACAATCTTATTGAATAGTAGAATTGACCCGTTGAGCCAAATGACAGATTTCTACTCCTACATCTCATGGTTTATGAATTCTGATTATCAAAACCAACAAAATTCCAACTGCTCACTCCTGATATCATGTTGTATGTCCAAGCTTAAGGCTTCTTTTTCTAAAATGAATGCAACTATATGAGAGGTCACAGAGTACAACAGCATTTTGTAAAACAAAACTAGGTTAATAAGTGGGCAACAGAAATCTAAGCCATGGTCCAACTTGATTGAAAGTGCCACTTGTATAAAAAGTTAAGTTACTCATGAGATTTATACATCGACTATCAATCTATCGTGCATTTATGGTTGGATAAGAATTCATTTATGATTTTCAAACCAAACCTTTTCACTTTGAAGAATTTTCCCCATGAATTGAGATAGTGGGGTTGGTATTACTTGCATCTTTGAAGTTCTTTTGCACTACATTTTGATTATGTCAAAAGACCTCATTAATCAGCAATACTTTAATGAGATCATATTCCTTATATAAGAAATTCAGAGTTCACATATCACATTGTGGAGCTCTTTACAGTCAAATGTCCATTTTAGTAACCTTGTGTATTATTACAGAAGGAACAAATTATTCTGTTTTTCTTATGTGATAAAAGTTTTCAGGTGTTGTTTTGACACCATTATTAATTGTTAAAATAGTCAAAAATAACTCCTTCCCCCACTTTGTTGTTCAAGTATTAGCACCAATTATTGCCTTGTGAAACCTCTTTTAGCCAATTTTGGTTCAGAGTTACAAATAAGCACGGATGAGAGACTGCACCAAATGCAAGCAGGACAAGTAACAACAAGATTTAAACAGATGTGTAGATTATATATTCAAATTTATCTATCATCATTCACTTATATTACAATTGTTATCATCCACATCACCAATGAGTTCTGAATAAAATGCCTTCATAAGCCCTTATATGCTGTCCACACACATGGCAGTCAGTACATTATCAGTGTAATGAAAACATTATCTCAATGACTCACTCCATCTACTGGATATATATTGAATCACAGTCTTATACACTGCACCTCAAACATTAAAAACCCACTTTCAGCCCAGCCACCTGCCATTTTCAGGCTTTTACATTCCAAATTTGGCATAATTGTGGCTCTTTGATTGATTACATTTTGTCTCCTACTTTCTATTATGCTTTCCACATCATCTCTTCTAATCTGTCTATTTCTGCTATGTTAAACATTTGGGCTGTTGTACAGCATTGACAGTTCGATGTAAATACAAGCTGTTGTAGTCTACTGAACGTTGGCAATGTTATTAGGCATGGGCTTTGCCTCAAATAGATTTCTTAATAGAAGAACACTGCATTTTGCACCTGATGAACATGCATTTTTAAACCAAACACTTTACAAAAAATATATTGTGAATACACAAATAACACAGACATTCAATCCTTTGTTTATGCAGATTTTTTAAAAGCTCACCATTGTCATATATTGTTGTATAATTCAAGTACAAATGAATTCCATGTTAATCAGTTGTTTGGATTTCTTCGATCATCCCTGACTGCAAGTTAGGATTTATTTTAGCAAACATTAATAGGCCAGCAAAATGAAACATTTGTTCTAAAAATGCTTGAACTGATTGGGTGTTCTGCAATTTCTTTTGGTTGCTAATTTATCTTAGATTTATTCACACATCTAGTATTTAATTCATGTTTGATATTGCAAAGTGAAACTTCCAGTACAATTTTCTAAAACCAAACTTTGCCCAACATAGGCTTACCCATCAGCAGCAGCCCTGTAACACAAATACACCAAGTGATCAAAAAATATATTTAATCAACACAGTTGATTTTTTTTTGACAATATCTGATTCAATAATTAGTAAGACAGAGGGTTTTCAAATAAACCTGTTGGACTGTAACCTGGTGTTGTGTGATTTTTGACCTAGTGAGACAAAAAGCAAATACTTTTTTTTCCCCTTTATCAGCTAGCCTCCTCTTCTGAATACCCGCCCCCACCCTCAATTAACTTGTGCCCATCTAAAATCTGTAGACCACATTTGAATCTGCAGGTTCTGAGGAAAGGTCACCGGACCCGAAACGTTACCTCTGTTTTCTCCTTCACAGATGCTGCCAGACCTGCTGAGCTTTTCCAGCAACTTTGTTTTTGTTCCTGATTTACAGCATCTGCAGTTCTTTTGGTTTTTATTTCAACCTGCAGATTTAGCCATCGCCCATGTGCTCACTGGTCAACATTGGTATCCAGTCAATTTTAAATTCATATTCTAAAATATGTATGCTTCAGGGCCTCACTAATCCCTAACCCCCAATCTCCTCCAACCCATCCATCCTCACAAGGGGATTCAGTGTTTTCCAGTCAGTCTCTTACATTGCATATTTCACTCACCTGGTCATTGAAGGCCAGTACTTCAGCCAACGCCATTCTAAACTATAGAATTATCTCTGTAAATCTGTGTAGTACACCACTTTCTTCCACTAATGGCCATCTTTGGCAACACATTCAGTTCTCCATATTTATTATCTCTTTCTTTGGTTTAGTATTTTTTTTCTTAAAATTATGCTCCTGTGGAAAATCTTGATGTTTTGCTACATTAATGGCACCTTACAAATGTAAGTTTTTGACAGTTTCCACAATAAATGCTTTACAACTTAAATCTCATTTCCTTGCATAAATTGAAAAAAAGGCCCATGTTCACTTTATATAATTCATTGGAAAGCCCATGATCACAAAAAATTAAAACTACAGTGCAAAAAGAAACAATGGACACCCTTCAATATCAACACCTTTCATTTGCACTTTTTCAAACACATTCATCAGGTTTCCATATTTCTTCAATCACATTTTGTCCATTCACTTTACCAATATAATCTTGACTGTTACATGGTTTCTACCTCGCTGAAAGTGAACACCACGATCGCACAAGTGAAGAGATAAATCCAGCCCCCTCTTAAATATCATATACTTTACCTTCTACCTGTAACCACTCGTTCCTAACTCCTTCAACCACGAGAACAATCGGCTTCTATTTGGCAGCAAGCTATTGGACATGCTGGAATCTGTACTGAAAACAAATAATGCTCTCTCTGATGAAGACTTGAAATGTTAGCTTGCTTTCTCTTCATGGATGCTGCCTGACCCGCTGTGACGTCCAACATTTTTTGTATTCAGTACGGCTTCTATTTATCCTTGTCCCATTTTCAGATACATTATTTCAAACGGTTCAGGTATACGCAATTATTTTAACTAATAAAAGTTTCACTTTGATTTTCCGTTAGAGAACGACTCTAATTTATTGCTTGTCAAAAGCTCTATTTTCTCACTCCTAAATGAAAACTTTAAACATAGACATTGGTCTGTACGGCTTTGGCGGTGCACGCCGGGAGTTGCTGTCTCCAAGGATCAAGCCTTCGCTCCAGCCCCTTTGGAATTGCTCCGGAGCCGGTCAGCGTGGATAGTATGGTACTACAACTCCCACAAAACATCGCGCCTCCCGCACCCTCCAGTGCTCGACGGGTGGTCTTTGTATTGGGAGGACAGCGCCCATGGAGGTACGAGTCCACCTGGGAAAGGTGTTGGCGACGATAGGACTGCAAATCCCAGAGTGCAACAGTGTGGGCGGGGTTAGTACGCGAGCTGGAGGAAGGCATTACTGGCTCGCGCAGCCTTTACAGTTTGAGTTGAACGGCTGCTGCGCGAGGCAGACGGTAGGAGCGCGAGTGGCTGGCTGGGGCTCGCAAACTGTCGCCGGCGGAGGGCGGGTGTGGGTGTCAAACAGACAGACAGATAGACACACCGATTTGGGGGCTCTGGTTAGACAGACGCACGCAGATACCCAGCCCGGGGCTCCGGTCAGTTAGACTCTTCACACCGAACCCGGAGCTCCGATCAGAGACACTTTACATCGGCCCCACTGATATACACCGCACACAGCGATCCCGGGGCTCCGGTCAGAGAGAGACACCGAGCCCGGGGCTCCGGTCAGACAGACAGACAGACACCGAGCCCGGCGCTCCGGTCAGGCAGACAGACACCGAGCCCGGCGCTCCGGTCAGGCAGACAGACACCGAGTCCGGGGCTCCGGTCAGGCAGACAGACACCGAGCCCGGGGCTCCGCGGATCTCCGGGCTTTACGAAGGTCATTTCATTCATTACAGAGTTGAGGTCTAGGAGGGCGGCGAGGGAGACCAGGATCCAGAAGGAACGGAACTACTCACGGCCCCACTAAGTGATACGGAGATCGGGGGCACCCCGGCTCGGGGAGCGGGGCGAGATCGGGGGCACCCCGGCTCGGGCCGTGGGGGTAAGTCGTGGTGGGGGTGGTGTATCCCGGCTAGGGGGGCGGAGGGTGGGAGAGACTGGGGGCAGCTCGGATCGAGAGCGATCGGGGTCAGTCCGGCTTGGGGAGCGGGGTTAAGTCAGGATAAGTGTCTGCCCAGAAGCTTTTATTTTAACTGTTGATGGATTCACTCCCCCGAGTGGTTTTCGTGTTTATACACAGGCTGCAAATGGACTGCCCTTATCCTAAGCTCAGGATTTCAGTCTACTGGGCTGAACACAACTAGGAGGAGAAGATGGAGGGGAAGCATTTGGTCCGGGGTGCTGCAGTTAGTTGCTGGGGTTTACCAGTCGTGTGAACCCGGAACGTAATACTTGGCGAGCGAGTGGGGACGATATCAGCCCGACACCATTTAGACCTCGTTTCTTCCCCAAGAACCTTTGTTGCGCTGGATTTACGATGTGGGGAGCTCCAAGAGATCTTGGACAGCTGCCGTAAATTTGTAGATTAAATAATTTGGATGGATGTACGGTGAAGATAATGGCAACAAGGAGAATGAGAATATTGGTCGGTTTTGGATCTATGAAAAAATAAGATTAAATTAAAAGGGCGAGCGACGAGGGAATAAACGTATAATGGATGGATATTGTATCACTCGGTACTATGCGAACAATATATAACAAATAATAAGAATACTTGTTAGATATGTCACTGACCAACAAAAGGATAACAAAAATGGAAGAAAATGGCTCAAATTTCGCTGCAGGTGTTTGACTGCGCGGAGTAGTAACGATACATTGTCTTCCGCTGAAAAGACTACAACAATTCTTCGACTGTTTTTAGCTTAGGCTTTTTTTTATATATTTGTTAACTGTTCTGCATATGCAGTAAAGCATTAATAACATCGCAGACAAAGGACATCATCACTGCATACAAAAATGTCTCAGAGTTTATTACAAGGAAAGAGATTTTTCTGTAGGGAGTGGGTTTTCCATAAACTCCATCATTGTCTTCAAGAAAAGAACAGTGGTAAACTGTTCGGGATCTCCAATCCTAGCGGAAATGCTGGTGTCCCTGGGAAAAATGCTGGAGGCATCGGAGGTATCCTGATCGTTGGGGGTCCCGGCAGCGGCAAGACAGCACTGTGCACAGAGTTGGTTTGGCCCACATGCCCGCAGTTGATTCAGCGGGGGTTGCATCGCCAGGCACTCGCCTATCACTTCTGTAAGGCTCAGGATGCAGACACACTGTGTGTCAGCAACTTCATCCGAAGCATCGTCTCCCAGATTCGCAATAGCAATTTGGTCCATGGATATGAAGAGAAACTGCGAGAACCAGCCGTTCACAGCGTGCTGCAGGCAGGCGAATGTGAGAGAAATCCTGGAGAAGCCTTTAAAAGGTACCATGTAGTTTAATAAAAAGAACAGTATCCTGTTGAATATTTTGCTTTTTTTAAACAAACTTATAGCATTTCGTGGTCACTGTGCATGGGGAATTAATTTAATCCTGAGTAATAATTATTTACGTACTCAACGGTTATTACATAATGGATCAGAAAAACTAATTTCTAATTATTAAATATTGTCGTGATTCAAAGAGGACAATATAAAAGCAAAAAAAAACTCAACAGATAAATGTGTTTTTGATTCTTGTTTTCAGTATCAGATTGGTATATATATACATGACACTAGCAGGTGGCCATTCAGGCCCTTGCTTCAGCTTTTCTCGATTTGTACCTCAAGCCTCATCATTTAACCACTTTTGGCCAATATCCCATATGTGACAATTGTGCATTGACAAGCAAGTGCTCTGCCATCAATATTCAGATTTAAGTTAATTTCAGCAATCCTAAAATGTATTGTCAGTGCTCCACTAACAAGATAAAATGATGTTTTGTGAGGAGTTTGTGTTACTTCTAATTATGTTGCAGCCAGTGGTATCAGACAATTTTTTTAAGGTCGCATCATGCTGAATGCCAAAATTTAATTTGGAGGACTTTGCATCTAAATGTGCCAAATTTTAGCCATTGTAAAGATGAAAACTGCTTCATGAGGAGTCAAAAGCTGAAATGTAACTCACCTATAAGACAATGAATTTGAGTTGAATAGCTTGTTATAGAGTCATACAGCATAGACACGGACCCTTTAGCCCACCATGTCTATCCTGACCAATAAATGCCAAACTACTCTGGTCCCATTTATTTGGTCTTAGCCTACTATGGCCTGGTATTTCATGTATTCATACAGATGCTTGTTAAATGTTGCGAGAGTACCTGCCCCCATTCCGTTTTAGGTAGCATGTTCCATACATCTATCACCCTCTGGGTGAAAAAGATTTTTCTCTGATCTCCTCTAAACCACTTGCTCCTCACTTTAAACTTACGCCCTCTGATCTTATCCATGTCTGCCGGGGGAAGAGCTTCTCGATATACTGTCTATGCCTCTCATTATTTTGTATACCTCAATCAGACACCCCCTTACTTGCTCTGCACCAAGGAAAACAAACCCAGCCTGTCCAGTCTCTCCTTGTAACTAAGATTTTTCATCTTGGTGAATCCCAATTGTACCCTCTCCAGTGCAATCGTGTCCTTTTGAAACTGTGGTGACTAGAATTGCACACAATGCTCCATCTGTGGCCTAATGAATGTTTTATGAAATTGGTGACAAGACTTCCTTGCTCCTATATGCCATGTTCTGGCTAATGGAATGCTTGCATTCATATGCCTTCTTCACCACTACCTATATTGACATCTTTAGGGACCTATGGACTTGTATACCAAGGGACCCTTTATTCCTCAGTACTCTGTCCAAACTTTACCATTCATTGTGTATATTCTTCCCTTATTAGACCTCGCACTTACTGGGATTAAGTTCCATCTGCCATTTGCTGATCCCAGTTTACCGGCTGATCAATATCAGACTGTCGCTTGACACCAGTCTCTTCACCATCAATAACGCTCCTAAGGTTTGTGTCAAAAGCAAGCTTACTAATTAAACCTTCTACATTCACACCCAAATCATTAATATACATAACAGCAAGGGTCCCAGCACTGATCCCTGCGTTACACCACTGGTTACAAGCTTCCAATTGCAAAACCAACGCTCCCCTGTCACCCTTTGCCTCCTATTTATAAGTCAAGCTTTGATCCAGTTTGCCAACTTGCCTCGGATCCCATAAGCTCTTACCTTTTGGACCACCCTTCCATGTGGGATCTTGTCAAGGCCTAGCTGAAGTCCATGTAAACCACATCAACTGCAGTTCCCTCATATATTTAGTCACATTTTCAATAAATTCAATTAAGTCACTGAGACTTGATCTCTGTCTAACAAATCCATGCTAACTTTTCCTGCCTTTCCAAGTATTGATTAATCCTGTCCTTCAGATTTTTTTCCTATAATTTCATTGCCATTGACATTAGACTAACTGGTCTGATTACATGGCATATTCCTGCTGCCCTGTTGAACAAAAGAACCACATATGCTATCCTCCAGTCATCTGGCACGTCACCTATGGCCAACGAAGTATTAAATATATCTGCCAGGGCCCCAGCAATCTTCTCCCTTGCCTACCATAGGATCTATCTCATCAAGCCTTGGGAATTTATGCACCTGTATGTCTGCTCCAACATCTAATACCTCCTCCTTATTAATCTTAATGTATTCTGGAACCTCACCATTCCAACTGATACCTGAGGCTATAGTGTCTTTCACTTCTGTGAATACAGATGAGCAGACGGGCGGCATTGTGGCTCACTGGTTAGCACTGCTGCCTTGTGGTGCCAGGGACCTGATTCAATTCCAGCCTCGGGTGACTGTCTGTGTGGAGTTTGCACGTTCTCCTCGTGTCTCCAATGGTTTCCTCTGGGTGATCTGGTTTCCTCCCACAGTCCAAAGATGTGCAGGATAGGTGGATTACCCATGGGAAATGCAGGGTTACAGGGACAGGGTAGGAGGTATGCCTGGGTAGATTGCTTTTCGGAGGGGTGGTGTGGACTCAGTTGGCCGAAAGACCTGCTTCCATGCTTTGGATTCTATGATTCTAAGTGTTAATTTAAGACCTCACCCATGTTCCCTGGCTCTATTCACAACTTGCCTCTGTGCTCTTGAATAAGTCCCACTCTTTACGTGGTAATCCTCTTGCTGAATATATTTATACAATGCTGATTTATATCTGATATAATAATTCTAAAATCAGTAGAAGGGATAACTTTTAATCTCTTTTTGCCTTTTGTTCTTCCATTTCTACTATTTTTGATATCTATGAAGAGGAGCACAGTAAATGAACTCATTTTCTTGTAACTTCATGTTAACTTGTCAGAAATCTAATGAAACAGAAATGTATCTTCCTGGTGGCATGAAATTTTACTGTTCTTTTGTTCTTGTGGAAGAAAGGTCAGTTTTGTGTAGCAATGCTCATCAGCAGTTGGTCCTTCAGAAAGAAATAGCATCAGTTCATTGACCTTTACAAGCCATTGTGCTTTATTGGCTTTCCCAGTGAAATTACTGATATTGATCAGTTGAAGGAAACACTTTCACTGTTTTCCTCCAACCTTCCCAGCAAACATATGATATGGTTTTAAATTGAACTTTGAGCCATGTATGTGAAATGACTGGAATATTGGAATGAAGGGCAAGTAGAATCCAAGACTTGGACTTCGGTGATCAAATACCTCCACCTGTTCACTCTAAATAATTTGCACACAATTTTTTTCCCCTCAGTTTCTTTGTTATTTTTATTTCTGCACTTTAGATGATTATGAAACAATTATGATTTATTTTAATGCATAGGCGTACTTTGTGCAGCAAATTATTGTAGATATTGATATTTAGTCTGATTTGGAGCTATAGGACTAAAGAAACAAAATCGTACATGTCCTTGATGTAATAATTTAGCTGGTAGCATTGAATCATAATTAACATTAAATGTGCTCTGACAACTTGAGAAGGATGATCTCTGCATTAACAAAACCATGATTAGACAGTGTATGTTCTACGTGCAGAAATCGGGAGAGTATTACATTATGAATTGAGTCCTAGAAAAGACTACAGTTGCTATTTCTTGGAAGAGTTCATGATCTTTCCACTATGTTACCCTTCCATCAAACATATAACAAAAAAAAAGCTTTTCCAGGTTGCCGCTGTTTAGAATTTTTTTCACAAAATATTTTTTGTGCATTGCTAAATTTAACACTTGGAGTCAGATATACCATGCCATAAGCTGTTTCTCATCTTGCATGAAAGCTGAACATTTGTATGTAACTGTCGGAAGGTGCAAGAAATTAGCGTTTCAGACTATTTCAATTCAGTTAGTTATCGACTCCCATTACATGCATCAACTGCAGAAGAAATGTCATTGTTAGAATTTATTTTATAGAGGGTTCATTAAAGTTTACAAGCTTCTTTGGATAATATTACCCTGTAACCTATAAAAATACTGTTAGATACTTTTAGGGTCTTGGATAATTCCGTATATTTTGGAAATGTATGTTGACAGTTGGTGGGGCTAATAAGCTGCACATTTCCCCAGCTAGTTTTCTGAAAAGGCTGATGTAGTGGTGCTCTGGTTAAATGTCTTGTTAAAAAGGAAAGGCTTGTTAAAACATTCTTGGTTTGAAATAGAAATTTTTAGCAGCATACCAGTATACTGCGGTGACCATTATAGGCCATACAAGTGCAAGGGTACTGAAAGCCGTTTAAAAAAAATCTATTGGCAATAATAAGATATAGCTCTTGCCAACGGCATTTGTCATCTGGTCTGCTAATTTTGAGTTTGGCTGTAGGCAGTGCAAACCAGCAATGCAGTTTCCATATTGCTGATCTGCAGATTTTTGCTTCAATGTCGCAGAAGGTTGTTGTCAGATAAATAAGTCATAAATGCAGCATACAATTATTTATTGCTGAAAAATGACACATCTTGTTGAGGCTTTTCATCTTGAATTCATCAGGAAGAGTGCCAAAATTGCAATTTATGCTAAAGGAGAAAAGGTGCTGATTCGTTCTTGTGATTGTTTTGAAATTGGCATTGTTGCATTTCTCGTTATGAATCCAAGATGAAAAGCTTCAACAACACCTCTCTTTTTTTTCCAGCAAAATTCAACTTCTGTACTACCAAGGGACTGTTGATTTTAGTTACTAGCCTGCTGAAAATTGGTTGCTCTGTGAATTTAGATTTAAATGTGAGAATATAGTATCGACAGGAAACTATTTTGTTTGAGAAATGGAATCAAAGTGCTGAAAAAAATTCAGGTCTGCAGCATGTGTGGGGAGAGAAAGAGTGTCTTGAGTCTAAAATACTGCCAGACCTCGAATTTTTCCAGCGCTTTGTTTTTATTTCGGATTTCCAGCATCTGCAATATTTAGCTTTTATTATCTGTTAAGGGATCTTAATCTAAAATATCAT